GAGATGAAAATGAGCTCTGAGGGATGAACAAGAAAGGAAAGGTTATGGCTCATAAGGGACCTGGTTGTGTGCCAGGTTGACATAAGTAGGCATGGTGTTGGGGTGCGGGGGAGGGAGCGGGCACCGGATGAGGGAGTGGCGAGTTGTGGCCAGGGGCCGTCCCACCCCTGGGCAGGGAATCCTGAGCTGTGTAGGACAGCTGGCTGAGCAAGCCGGTAGGGAGCACTCTCCCACAGACACCTGCTACAGCAGTTCCTGCCTCCGGGATCCCACCCTGGCTTGCCTCTGGGAGGGACTTAGGAGCCTAAGCCAAGTGGCTCTGGGTCACGGTGTTTGATCGCAATAATACAAACCCTAACTCAGGAGGACCCTGGTTCCTGGAGTGGAGTCTTGCTGTGACAGACCGGATCACCTGGCCTTCCCCAGGATTGGGAAAGGCCCTTGAACTGTGGGCAGGTGGGCAAAGCAGCTGACTGCTCCAAGCTGGCTGTGCTCCTCTAGGGCAGCTTGGAAGGCAATCTCGTGAGCCATGCTGACAATGACGACTACGGAGTGCCTCACCCCACCTCCAAACACACACACCTGAAGTTTCAGCGGGCACTCCTTTGGGGCCCTTTGGGTAATTGGAATGAAGAAGGTGTGGTCCTGCGGAGCCCGGGGCTGAAGAATCATCTGTGGTTTATGAACAAGAGACCCGGAGCCAGCAAGATGAAACCTTGGCTGTGCGGGGACAGTCCTCGATGGCGCTCCACTGGAGCTGAGAAGTCAGCGGTGATTAAGAAGACATCGGTGCCGCCGCCGAGGTTAAACCTCCCCACACCCTACCCCCCCCCCCCCGGGGACGGGGTCTTCCTGAATGTCAGCATTCAGAGGTTGAACCCCATGCCAGCTAGCCAATTTGAAAACGTGTAGGACTCGCCTATGTGGTGATGGCATTGAAGGTGTGGAAGGATGGATCCCAGAGAGCAGCAGAGGCTTGGAGATGGGCGGTGGGTCTGGAGTCCCCAGGGAGAGGCTGAGAGGGGACATGAGCAAAGGTGCAACCGCGGGTGAACCCCACTGCGAACGGAAGTGGTGGAATGTGGGGAACAGCCGAGGCTTGGCATTTCCACATGGCATGCTCAGAGAGCCCCCGAAGAGTGCCCAGCCGAGGCAGGGGATCGCCGGCGAAGGCGAGGGGTCGTGGAGATGCGGGACAACCTGGGACAACCACAAAAGGGGAGCAGCGGCCTCAGAGTGGAGCCCATTTAGGCCTGGGAGAGCAGCTATGGCAGCTGTGAATGGCAGAGCTGAGGGAGGGTGACTGTCCTCCCCCTCGGGACCCAAATAGAGCCAGTGAACAGGAGAGGTCAGACACTAGGCTTGTGACAGTGTTGGACTTCGGTTTTGCTTTTCTAGGATAATGATCTTGCCCGGAATCTTTCCTCTCCGTGCACAAGTGCCTTTAACTTCAAACAAAACAAAATAAGGGGAAAAAATCAAAACAAAGCAATAACCACAACCAAACTCTGTGTTTTTTAAGAGCTGAGCAGGGCTGCCAGGCAGGGAGAATAAATAGGAGCAGAAGTAAGGAGAGTACTAAGAAAAGGAGAAGGAGAAGAGGTCGCCAGGGGCCAGCCACACAACCATTCAGCCAGCCATTCAATCAAAGCAAAGAAAAGCATATAGGATATAGAAAGGTAAAAGTTCCCAGGGGAAAAAATTTAAATGGGATAACTGAAGCGAAGAAAAGATGCCCAGAAAAGAGCCAAGCTAATCCCCGGCATTTATAAGCAACAATAAGTTTCTGTGTATTTATTTGAGTGCTGGGTGGCGGGCTCCCAAGAGTAAAATATTATGAAAACAAACAAACAAAACAAACAAACAAACAAACAAAAACAATACCAACGACAGTTCTTGATGTTTTTACATTGCGGTGT